ACCACATAGCTCACACCTTGTATATCTCACCGTATACCATGCACCACATAGCTTAAACGTCATAGCTTGCACCCCCGTAGATTGCACCACATATCTCGCACCACATAGTTTGCAATAGCTTGCACCGCATCGATTGCATCACCTTGCGTGTTAGAACATACTGTGTGGGGTTCACGCTGGAAAACATGAATGTGTGTGTGCTTTGTCCTTCAACGTTCCGTGCCCTCCCCTTTCGCTCGACCCGGCTGGGACGCGAAGCGCGCCCACGGGGCGTGGCTGGAGGCGCCGCCAAGGAGGGGCCAATGGCGGGGCGACCAGCTGTAGGCGACCCGTGGGCGCCGACGGTTCCCGAGACCATCTGCGCGGAGTTCTCTAGGCGTCCCATACTTCCTTGTCTCGCCGGGAAAGATCTCTTCTGTTTTTCGGCCACCGCGGATCGGGCAGAGGGCGGGGCCGGTCGGAGCGCCGCGGCCGCCGTAAGCTCAGGTCGGGCGCGTCCCCCGTACAGGCCGATTTTGGGCGACAATTAAAAATACTAGAAAAATACACCAACATAGTCAAAGCATACTAAACACAAGTAGTCCCCAGAGTATGTTTTGACAATTTTTACGTATTCCTCCTGTAGAGGGACAGGCCCGACTTAACCATAAGCGCGCGCATCAAAGGCGGCCGCCCTGCGCCCCTGTACAGATACAGCCCGGCGGGCCAGCGCGCAGCTGGACGCGCGCGGGCGGCCCCGAGAGCAGCGCTCGGCTGACTGCGGAGGGGGCTGGCCTGGTGCCCGCCTCTGCGCACGTGGAGGCCGCCTCAATGGGGTCCGAGTGCAGTCGGCGTCGATCGGAGAGGGCATGCGCAAGGACACGTGCTATCCCAGAGGAGGAGGAGGAGGAGGAGGAGGAGGAGGAGGAGGAGGAGGAGAAGGAGGGCGAGGGCGAGGGGGAGGCTGAGGAGGAGAGGAGGGAAGAGGGAGAGGAGGAGGGAGGAGGGAGGAGGGAGGAGGGAGGAGGAGGAGGAGGAGGAGGAGGAGGAGAGGAGGAGGAGGAGGAGGAGAGGAGGAGGAGAGGAGGAGGAGGAGGAGGAGGAGGAGGAGGAGGAGGAGGGAGGGAGGAGGAGGGAGGAGGGAGGAGGGAGGGGGAGGAGAGGAGGGAGGAGGGAGGAGGGAGGAGGGAGGAGGCGGCGGCGGCGGAACGATATCGGGCCGCATGTCTCGTCTGCCGTGAGACCACATAGCGGGCAACGCGAAGCGCAATTCGACTATGTGCGACCAATCGTGCGCTTTACAAGCGAGTGACTAACGCCCCCTCCAGGGGGGGAGCCCCGAGTTTACTTCGCTCGACCCCATTCACCAAGCGACACCTCGGGAAAAAACACGCAGGAAGAAAAGCACGCACGGCCCCCAGGATCCGAGGGACGCTAGTTTCGTGTCGCGAGCGCGACCAAAGCTTTGAAACTCAGAGCGGAGGACAAGGAGACCCTCTGAGGACGAGGGGGAAGGCTCGAAGGACGAGTGGGGGGAGAATGGACAGCGATAGCAACAGCACAACGGGCGGCCTCCTGGAACTCAGGCTTCACGAGGAGGAGGAGGAGGAGGACACGAGTGCAGGGGGCACGGGGCGCAAAGCACGGGGCACGAGGGCGCACTTGACCTGGAAAAGTCGACCTGCTGATCACACTCGACTGCAGGTACTGCGTGCTGCATCGCCGATGCATCGGCGACGTCGGAGTGGACAAGATCGGGATCCACATGGCACGCCAACGTGGATTAGGGACCCGTAGATCTAGCGCGTGGGCGAACCATCCACGGCTCGGCGAACACACAACCCTAAAAATGAGGCCGGTGCCGCCCGATTTGGCGACGCAGCGTGCAGATCTCGTATGGAAACGGAGCCCGTCCCCAATCCACGCGTCTTGATCCATGCGTAGAGGTCTCCTAGATGGGATCCGAGTAGATGGGGTCGGAGGATTGCACCGAACCGCCGATACATCGGCGATGCATCGGCGCCACTGGTGTTGTGAAATCGGGCTGCACATCGAGCCAAATCGCCGATGCGTCGGCGATGCGGCGGCGATCCTCCGACCCCCACCTGCTCGGGTCCCATCCGGGAGGCCTGGACTGTTGGCGCTTAGCAGAACTTGGGGGAACCAGTAGGTACCTGTACCGCTACACCCGGGACCTCTCCCGGGGTGCGTTCTGACTAGGATTTCGAGGCGAATATAGCGGTGGCGACGAGGGCCTTCCAGGAGGCCCAACAAAAAGGCGCAACCGAGGGACGGGTAGCCGCATGTGCTCCGACCCTCCACTCGGACCCCATCCGGGATGCCTGGGATGCCTGCGCTTCCTCGGCGGTGCTAGACAAGCGTATGACCCGGATCCGCTGCGGTTAGGTCGGGCATGTCCTCCCTACAGGCGGATATGGGAACACAACACGTACAAGGCGGATATGGGAACACCACACGTACAAAAAAGCCAAAACATACCCAAAAATAATCCCCCTAAAAATACAAACATCGTCCCCGTACTCCTCCTGTAGAGGGACATGCCTGACTTACCGCTGCGGGGGATTGACGACACATCACGTCAAGGCGAATGTGCGTGTGTGCGTGTGTGTGTGTGTGTGTGTGTGTTCTGTTCTGACGCTGAGGCCCGCCGGGCCAGGCGCGAGCCGGCGCGCCGCCCTTCCCCCCCCCTTCCCTTCTCCCGCCCTCGCCCCCTGCGCCTCCCCCGTCGTCCTCGTCTGTCGTACGTCGTTCGTCTGTCGTGTCGTGCCACTGGGCCCCGTCATCGCTGGTAGAAAAAAGTGTGTTCTGTTCTGACGCTTGCGAGTACGTATGCGCCCTGCGAGTAGCGGAGCGCGCCCCGGGAGGTGCGGCGCAGCCCGCCGACGCCCAACCACCCTTCGGACATCTCCCCTCCCGGGCGGCCGGGAGCACGTGCCGGGGCCTCCCCCCTCCTCCCTCCCCTCCTCCTCCCTCCTCCCTCCTCCCTCCTCCTCTCCTCCTCCTCCTCCTCCTCCTCCTCCTCCTCCTCCTCCTCCTCCTCCTCCTCCTCCCTCCTCCTCCTCCTCCTCCTCCCTCCTCCCTCCCCCTCCCTCTTCCCCCTCCCATCCTCCCTCTCCTCCTCCTCCCTCCTCCCCCCTCCTCCTGCCTCCTCCTCCCTCCTCCCTCCTCCTCCCCCTTCCCCAAACGACCACGGCGACGAGCTCCCCGCTGCCCGCATCACTGCCGCCGCCCGAGGCGGCCCTGGCCCGGGGCGGCCCCGGCTTGCCCAGGGGCGCCCCACGCGGCCGTCCGTGGCCCAGGCTCGAACTTCTGATGGGGGCCCCGCGTGACACGCAAATTTGGACGCCCGAACAACACATGTTGTCCCAAGCCAACAACGGCCGCTGTTGGGCAGGCGGCCTTCTGTCTCGAATGGACACAGGCCGCGGCGGCGTGGACAGCGAATCCTGTTCAAAATGAACAGGAACTGTTGTTGGGCATTGTACCCATTCTTTCCGTACCAATTTCGGGCGTCCAGAGCAAAAGAAGGGGTACAAGCCCCAGGCTTCCCAACATCTTGTTGCGTATCCTGTGGATGTTCGTTGTCTCCTCCGCTGTCCATCTCTTTTCCACGCTTTCCTGGGAAATAACAGTAGTTTGTGTCTGTGTCTTCTCTGTCCCTCCTGAACTTATCCCTGTCTCGAAGATGGGCAAACCAAAAACGGTGACACATATTAATGCCCTTAGAAGCTGAGAGGAACCGTGACGTTGGCATCGAGGCGAGGCGACGCCAAACATAGACATGGGGACATGAACTTCAAACTGGTAATCCGCCGCGAGCTTGAATGCACGGAGAGGGTACAGAGCGAAACTGCACGACGCCCAACAACGAATGTTGTCCAGAACCGGCAGCGGCCGCTGTTTGGCAGGCGGCATTCTGTCTCGAATGGACGGCACCCGCGGCGACACCGATGGCGAATCCTGCTCACAATGTGCAGACCACGCGGACTACGGTCAATTTGTATAAGAAGGACGCACGACAAGGATGCAAGGGCCTTGGAAGGCCATGTCGACACTTTGCGAGCGGGGCACGGCCAGCGAAAGCGGTCAAGGATGGGCCGAAGGGGAAGGATGCAGGTAACCTTAGGAAAATGGCTCATCCGTACCATGCGGGTTGACTGCAGTGGTGTTGGATCGCCATTCTTGGTAGCCCGCTCGAGATTTTTCAAATTTGTAACTTGGGGAGGCACTGTGGACCTTCTCGCTTTGATTGGCACTGCTGGTGCTGGTGGTGTCGGCGATCATTGCTCCGATTCGTCTGCTACTCCCCTCTTGCCCTCTCTCCGCACCTTCAGCATCCGCGCGGGACATGCCTGTCTGACGGCACAAGACGCACGGAGAGGACGGAAGTCTTTTCCCAGGGCAACTAACTCGTGCTCCATGCATGAAGAGAACCGGATTCGCTATAGACAGGACATGAGGGAACTCTGCATGTTGCAGGAACCATGCGCATGCGCGCATGGTGGTTGTGGTGTCGTGCGCATGTGCGCGTGGTGGTCCCGTGCCGATGCTTTTGGTCAGCCCTGCAGCCCTGTCGTCTGCGCTGTGCCTGGAAATTCGCTTCTTGCTCCAGCAAGCGATCAAGGAGCAGCTGTAGTTGGAGGAGGAGGAGGAGAAAGAGGACCTGGCAGTGGCACGCTTCCAAGGCAGATGAAAAACATAGTATGTGAGATGACGGTACTCAATGTTAATTTCTAAACCATATCAAGAACCGATTGGCTGGCCCAGGGGAGCTTAGGCCCGACCAAGGACGTACCAAAGCGGATGCTTCATTCAACCTACCTCCAGGGCAGGCATTTTAGATATCCAAGCGTCCAGAAATCAACGACCAACCCCGTCAACCGTGCTCCGCCCTGCATGCGAAAAAGATAGACCGTATGTAACACACGCGAGGGCGGCGACACTGAGCGCGGCACTCCTCTGGAGAGCGCGCCGAACGCCGAGTAGCTCGGACAGAGGCCCTACCTCAGTCTCGAGATGTCAAGAAAACAGATGTTCTGCTCGTTGGCCTTCACCGCGCCGGCTTCGTCCTCGGCCACACCGCGCGGTCGCTCTCGGGATAGGCTTAAGTCGGGCCTGTCCCGCTACAGGCCGATTTTGGACGAAAAAAAAAGAATATCCCCCAAAAATATACTAAACATACTCAAAAATGGTACCAAAATTGTCCCCAGGCTAATTTTGGACTATACTTGAATATTCCCCCTGTAGAGGGACAGGCCCGACTTAAGGATAGGCCGGTGTGGCTGGAACCCCACCAGATGGAGCCCGGCGGGTCCCGCGCTCTACACGGGCTTCGCCTCGCCCCCGGGGGGGGCCAAATCCAACTGGAGCCCCACCAGATGGAGCTCCGCCCGGCGGACTTCTCTCCGCTGGCGCCACACCGATGGGACCCCCCTCGGCTCCGACGGCACCTGCCCCGACTGGACTCAACTCGGCGCTGCCAGATCGTCGATGGCGGTGCCTCCACGCATTCTGTCCAACACCAGCGGAGTGACACCACTGTCCCGAGTCAAACATGTACCGGACGCGACCGCACGACTTGCACCATCGTTAGGGGGCCACGTGCGAACCCCACCCTCCCCCTCAGAAATCGTGGGGGGTAGGGGTAGGGTTCGCCTGTGGTCTCCTAATCGTTGTTGAGCCACCCAAAGTGGACCCTGCCGCTGCAGATTCGCCCCCCGAGGGGCGTCACCTCTGCGGGTCCTGGGCCGCGGAGCGCCCGGCATCTCTCGGCGCCCCCCGCGGGCGACCCGGTGTCAGAGATGGGGCTCTTAAGGGGTGGTGCCACCACGTGGAGCGCTGCACAATGCAGGTGGCAGCGTCTCACATTACGGTGGACACGAATGGGCGGATGTTGTATCGTGGTGCTGTTGTTGTTGTTGCTGTTGTTGTGATTGTTGGTGTGGTCGTTGATGTTGTTGGTGTTGTTCTTATTGTGGCTGTCGCAGCTGTTGCTATGGATGTTGTTGTCGCAGCTGTTGTTGTTGATGATGAACCCTTGTTTCTACATATTAAGCTGTGTTGATCCCCCTTCGTCAAACGTTCTTTTTCGATTGAAGTGCTCCTCTTGGGGCTTGCACTCTGCTTCTACAAAAGAGACAAAGGTCACCGAACTGTGTTGTCAGCCCCCCGGTTTACAACAACCGCGGCTCCCGCCGGATACGTCTTCACGATTCATTCCAAAATTTCGTTCTCGCGTAAGACTTCCTCAGAAGTTATTCGGGAATCGCGCTCTCGCGCGGGACTTCCTCGCAGATAATTCAAACGCCGCGCCCCCGACGCTCAGGAGCCGCGCTCTCGCTCTGGCTACTCTCACGATTTATTTGGGAATCGTACTTTCGCTCGAGACGTCCTTGCGATTCATGCAGAACTCACGCTTCAACAACCCGCCTGCCCGATCTGGCCGCCTGAACCCGGCTTCCCGACCCTCCCGTTATTGTAGGGTCCACCCGTCCGATCAGCCCGTCTAGTTCTGCCACGTGTCATCTGCTCTTGTTCCTGCGTCCTGCTAATCTCTCTCGTGATCCATTTTTCTTCCTCCCCCATCCGTTCTCTCTTCCCCTGTTTTATTAGCTGCGCTAAATGCACGTGGCAGATACCCCCCCCAACGGGCACGATCGAAGACGAAGAGGGCGGGTATCGGGGGGTCGGGATATACGAGTTGACTGGCACGCGAGCAGGTAAGAGTGAGCAATATTAAACATGAGTGTTGTTGTTGCTGTTGCTGTTGCTGTTGTTGTCTCTGTCATTGTCGTTGCCGTTGTCGTTGTTGCTGCTGCTGTTGCTGTTGCTGTTGCTGCTGCTGCTGTTGCTCTTGCTGTTATTGTTGTATTTGTTGATGTTGACTTCTCGATTCTGTAGAATAAATAAGATTGGTCCCCCCCTTCCGGTACATGGTATGTGTTTTATGGAAGTACTCCTCCCGGGGCTCGCACCCCCTTTTATGCTACAGCGGAAAAGTGAGGCGTCACAAAACCGGGCCCCTGGCCCCCGAGTGACAACAACAACGGCTCCCGCCTGATGCTTCCTCACATTGTATTTAAGAAGTCACACTGCAGGCAGGAAACGCGCTCTCGCGTGGGACTTTCCCGCAATGTATTCAAACGCCGCGCCCTCGACACTCAGGAGTCTGGCATTCGCTGTGGATTTCTCACGATTTACTTGGACATCGCGCTGTCGCTGGAGACTTCCTCGCGATTCATGCAGGACGCGCGCTTCAGCAACCCGCCTGTTCGATCTGGCCGCCCGGGGCCACCTTCTCGACCCGCCCGTTGGGGTCTACCCGCCGGATCTGCCCGTCTGGTTCTGCCACGTGTTTTCTGCTACTCTCTCCTCCTGCAACTCTCCTGCTACTCTCTCGCGCTCCATCCTCTTCCGCTACTGCTACGTCTGGCTTTCTGCTACTCTCCTGCTCCTGCTACTCTCCTGCTACTCTCCTGCTACTCTCTCCTCCTGCTGCTCTCCTGCTACGTCTGGTTTTCTGTCCCCCTCCTGCTACTCTCTCGCGCTCCATCCTCTTCCATCCCCTATTATCCTTGCCTTCTCTCCGTTATTCCTTCCCCTGCCCCAGGGGCTGCACGACATACACGCTGCAGGTAAGAAAGATAATACCCCAAGAGGGTACCATCGAAGACGAAGAGAGCGGGTATCGAGGGTTTGGGATATACGTTTTGAGTGGCACGCGAGCAGGAAGAGCGAACAATATCAAAATGGTTGTTGCTGTTGTTGCCGTTGCCGCTGCCGCTGCTGCTGCTGCTGTTGTTGTTGCTGCTGTTGCTGTTGTTGTTATCGTGGCGAGGGGCAATGACGATACAAACATGGCTTACTTGTATCACGCTTATTGCTTGCGCCTCTCCGCATAGCCATTCTGGCTCTGCGTGCTCACAGGCCCCTAGACAGGCGACATCACATTCGCTCCCAAATGGGGCCCGAGCAGAGGGGGTAAGAGAATCGCACCGCATCGCCAATGCATCGCCGATGCCTCCCGCGCCATTTTGGCCGCGTTCAGCCCAGTTCCGCTCTGAGCCGGGCGCCGCTCGCTTCGCTGTTTTCCCCTTTGCTTCGGCGCGGCCCGCCTTAGCTTGTACGGCGGTCGACTCGTCTTCGCGCGCCCGCGGACCAAAACAAATAAATGCATCGCCGATGCATCGGGGGCGTCGGCGTGAAGCACATCGGGCTCCAGAACGAACCGCATCGCCGATGCAACGGGGATGCGGCGCGATCCTCCGCCCCCGTGGACTCGGGCCCCACCCGGGAGGCCTGGAGGGATGGTGCCACAAAGACAAAGGGTCTCATGCAGTGTAAATTCAACCCCGGGGTGCCTTCCTAAGTACTCAAGTGGCCCAAAGACGCACAAATAAATAACACAAATCCCAGAATTCCCCATACCTTTGACTTTTTTTGAGGGTTTTTGTCTTCCCCCCCACTTCCCATATTTTCCGGGGAATCGACGACTAATAGTTCGGTGTCTGTGTTTTCCCTCCTGAATTTTGCATTATGATATGATTTGTTTACTCCGTTGACCCAAAGGTCCCGCCGGCTTCTCCAGCGCAGTGTTGCTCGTCCCGAATTCGTTTTTCTGGTCTGGAAGCCCGACAAAGAGCCGCAGCGCAGAGGCCGAGGCAGAAGAAATACGCCAGAATTTGAACAACTCATCTCGTCTGAGATCTGGGGTCCAGTCTTGGATACACCAACAAATACCGATGCCGCTAATTACTCCCTGGGTCTGGGTCCGTTACGACCAAAACTCAAGGCACACCCAGTCGTGGCGACGAGGGCCTCCCAGGAGGTCCTCTCAGGAGGCCCGAGGATGGCGCTATCGGTAAGTGCAGTGTCCTCCTCTGGCTCCCGGATAACCTGTCTCTGGGCCCCTCCCAAGAGTCCAGGCGCACACGTTCTTCGAGCTGCGTCCAGCAGCGGCGACGAGGGGCCCCCCAAAGGCCAACTGCCGGTGCCTAAGCTCACCTTACTCCGACCATCCTCAAAGCCCCATCCCTCAGGGCCGCCAGGGCCCCATCTCTGAAGCGCCGACCGGGCCTGTGTGTCGTGCTCTTCTCGTCCCTTTCACCACTCTGTTGCACGCGATCGGTATTATATGGCATTGGCCTCGTGCCTCAGGTGGCCTCTGGCGACGGCCCTGCATCCGTATAGCAGCCTGGCGCCTGGCGCCGCTCCCACTTTATCTCTCTCTATAGATATATAGATACATACATACATACATACATACATACATACATACATACAAACATACATACCTACCTACCTACCTACCTACCTACCTACCTACCTACCTACCTACCTACATACATACATACATACATACATGCATGCATATATACATACATCCATCCATCCATCCATCCATACATACATACATACATATATACATACATGAATCCGCCGGCCCCCACGTGGGGCATCCAGGCTGTAGGGCTAGGCTTACTGCTCCCTGCGCCAGTTGCAGGTACCAGCTTCCAATGTGATAGCTCTGCTTTCTGCTTCCAACTGTAAATTGTTGCTGAACGCGCCAGGGGGGAGAAGCCGAAAATCATTGGATGTACCACGCCTCTCTGGGGTTCCCAGACTTCCTAGGGGGTCGTGGGACATGTGAAAATACATAAGATTCGCACCCCCGAGGCCATAACTTTCGTAAATTACACAATGATCGCGTCCCCGAGACCATACCTTCATACAATACTTGATATTTGCATCCCCGAGGCCACAAACCCTTGTAAATTACACCATCTTCGCGTCCTGAAGGCTATAACCCTTTGTCAATTATACAATATTCGCGCCCCCGAGGCCATCAACCCTTGTAACTTACTCAATATTTGCGCCCCCGATGCCGCAAACACATATAAATTATACCATCTTCGCGTCCCCGAGGACATACACCCTTGCAATTTTTAAATATTCGCGTCCCCGAAACCATAAACCCAGGTAAAGTGTACAAGATTCGCTTCCCCGAAGCCATACCCATTTGCAAATTACATGCTGCTCGCGTCCCCTAAACCGTAATCCGTTCTAAATTATACAGGATTCGTGCCCCGAGGCCCATAAACCCGTGTGCCTTGCGCAATCTTTGTGTCCCCGAAGCCATAAACCATTGCAGATTACATCGTATTCGTGTCCCCGAAACCACAACCCTTAGTCAATTATACAACATTCGCGTCTCCGAGACCATAAACTCTTGTAAATTATACCATAGTCGCGTCCGTCCCCGAGGCCACAAACCCATGAAAGTTACACTATAGTTGCGCCCTCCGATGTCACGATCCCCTGACGATTACACGATATTCGCGCTCCCGAGGCCACGATCTCTTGTAAATTACGACGTTTTGCATTTCAGAGGCGACGAACCTTGGTATAAATTGCGAGGGTGTGATTCAGTGGGAGCCCCTGTCGTCGCAGGTGGGCCTTCAGCGCAGCTACTGAATTGCAGTCTCTGGCCAGGGGGTCTCGGAGTCCTATCCGCCCCCGCATGATGTTCCCAGATGCGCCAAGGCAGCGCCGAGACGCACCTATGCGACTCTTATATATCCCATTCTGATAGAGAGGGGGCCGGCGGCAGTGGGCGAAATCCTTACAGATATCCCTGTCTCATCGCACTTCCCCCAAGCCTGAGGCCCTGAAACTAAGCCAGGACCTCAGGACGAGAACAAAATCGTGTGAGCTTGAATCGGGAATCTCTGAGATCCAGAAGCTCTGGAGGGTGTATCGGGCGCGGCGGCCTTCTGAGAGCGTTCCGGTAAGCTCTCAGAGCGTTCTGCAGCGCTCTGGAACGGATTTATCCCCGTCCTAGCACCGTCTGATCCCTTGCTTATTGCACCTGCTCTACCAGCGAGGGCGCTGCTTCTCGGTTGCGCACTGGCCGCTCCGGCAGCGCCCGGGCGGGTCCTCCTGGCGCTTCTCGACGACGCCCTCGCTCTCGTTCTGCTTCACCAGCGCCCAGGCTGCCCCGCCGTCCGCCGCCTCCCGGCGCGGGTTCTCCGGGCCGCAGGGCGCCGCCGCCGGCGGCGCGGTCGTCCCTGCGATCTCGGCGTCGCAATTTCTGCACATCGTCGGCGGCGCGCACAGAAAAGGTGATGGAGGAGGGGGGAGGCTTCTCAGGAGCCGCCGGCCTGCATCTACAGACGAGGCCCGCGCCTTCTGAGGAGCAGGGGTGCTGGAAGTCTTCCCCCCACCCCGACCCCCTCTGCGCGTGGCCGAACACTGGGCGCTCTGGCCCGGCCTCGGGCCCTGTGGGCCCTCACAGATGGATCTGGCTCGGCAGATGTTCTGTTGGCGGCGTGCCCAGGGTGAGAAGGAGAAGGCCTTCTCAGAAGGCGGCGAGGCCCCTCAGAAGCTCTCTGACCTCCTGGGAACGCCCATTAGGAAACTGCTCCGAAGGCCGGAAAGCCTCTCGAGCCCACTGAGAAGGCCCGCCGCTTCTCCCTGCCCCCCCAGGCTCGCCGCCGAAAATTGAGCAGAAAGATGGGGTCCAGGGCTGAGGTCGTGAGTTCTGGCGAGGTTTCAATTTGTTCGAACGTCGGATCTCGGGGATGGTCGTGGCCGTCGTGGTCCGACAACTAGTAGAATCCAACCGAAATCTGCCTCAAGCAATCAACGGCCATCTGGGCGCCGGCCCCCTTCTTCCCCTTTTTGCTTCCTGGGGCCTCGCGAGGGTCTCTGGGGGCCTCTAGGGCCTACAAGGGGTCTAGTGGCTGTTCTTGGTGCTACCTACGTCTTCCCCTCGCCTTTTTCTGTTTCCTCAAAATCCCACCAGCCCTTTAGGGCGCGAGTGGTTTAGAGCACTTCCTCTTGCGAGCTCCTTTCTTCCCCTTCGGAGAGGGGTTTGTCACCAGACCTGGAGGGGGGCTCCGCGGGGCGGAAATGAATTGGAACGACTTCGCTTGACTCGTCACGTGGCAAACGCATGGGGGCGGGGGGGGAGACGAAATACATGCTACTCCGCTCTCCTCGCGACGTGGCAACGCATGCGGGACGGAAGACAATGCTATTACATTGGAACTGTTTGGGCCAAGCGAATGGCAAGCGAAACGAAATTCGCCACGTGGCATTGCCTCGGGGCGGAACAGATATTAGTTCACTCTACTCGCCACTTGACAACGCTGGGGGACCGAAACAAATGCTGGCTGCTCCAATCGCCTCGCCACATGATGACCCTCGGAAAGGGGGAAACGAATACTACTCCACTGTGCTCGCCACGTGGCAGCGCCTGCGGAGCGAACGCCCACGCGCCCGCCGCCCGCCCACCCGCCCCCCCGCCCGCGCGCCCGCCCGGCCACCCGCCCGCGCGCGCCCGACCGCCCGCCCGCCCGCGCGCGCGCGCCCGCTCGCGAGCGACACATGGCAACGCAAAGGGAGCGAAACAATTATTGCTCCACTCTCTTTGCCACGTCGCAACGCCCGGAAGGGGGACACACATACTAATGCACTGTACTCGCCACGTGGCAGCGCCTGCGGGGCGGAATAACTTTACTCCACCCTTCCTGGCACGTGGCAGCGAAACGTGCCAGGAACACATGCTACTCCACTCTGCTCGCCACATGGCAATGCAACGCGGCAAGTCCTGAGAGGTAGAAAGGAATACTATCCCAGTCCACTCGCCACGTGGCAATGACATGGGGAGCGAACCAGAGATTCGGGAGATACGCCCTCACTCTACTTACTCATCATGTGGCAATGCCGCGCGGACCGAACATATACGAATCTCGCTGTGCACGCCACGCGGCACCGCCTGGGAGGCGACAGCACATACTCCATTGGACTCGACACGTGGCAACGCTGCGGGGCGGCAACACATGCACCGCCACCCCATTCGCAACGAGGCAGCGACAGGGCGACAAACACCGAAGAAGAACCCACAAACAACCGCCCAGGCCGAAACAAGTACACGCGGACCACGCTGAGGCACCCGATGGAAAGCACCACTCGCCGACGCGGCATCCAGAACCCCATGCACGTCGGTCGGAAGAAGTAGGTAAAAACATGCAGTAGGAAGGCGGATATAGTGGATTGGGTCCAGGTCCTCCCAGATAATAACAAAACACAGCAAAAGCGCGTCGATGCTTGAAGTAGGAAGGCGCTTGAAGTAGATTGGGATCTGGGAATCCAAACATACCTACTTTCAACGACCGGCGTCTACCCTGTCCGCTGCCTTCGTAGGGCTCCTGCCTCCGTGTGCCTTGTCCTATCTCCTCCCGCGTCCACCAGCCCCCTCCCACTGCACCCTGCATCGTTCTACCTTCCCTGGGACCATCTCCTGCCCCCTCCCACTCCTCCTGCATCCTCCTTCCGCCCACAAGCTCGCCGGTTTGTCGGACATTTGTCCTCCTGGAAATTCGGGTTTGGGCCTCCTGGGCTTGAGGGTCTTGCCATTGTCGGGATTCCGGGCTTGGCCTTGCCCGTTTCTGGGTTCCGGGGGGATTTCCGGGTTCAACTTTCCCTCCAAGAGGCCCCTGAAAAGGCATCCCGACAGATCCTCATATTCGTCTAACATGCTCACGACCTACAGCCCAAGCACGGTGACGGGTTGGGCATAAGGCCGCTCGACAACTTCCACGACTTCCAAGTATGATTTGTTCTAAAGTTCGGCGGAATGGCTACAGCCACTTCAACGTGCACATACATGCATACATATACACACAACGATGGAGTGTCCCCCAGTCTTTTGTCTAATCCTTTGAACCTCAGTCCTCACCCAGGAAAACGATTTAACAGGCCCTGGTCCAAATTTCCTCGGTGCATCGCATCGGATTGACCGACCGCCACTCCCCGCAATGGCCACGAAGCGTGGCCGCGAAGCATGCGCGGCAACTCCAGACTGCTCCGCGTCGGATTAGCCGAGCGCCGCTCCGCTAAGTGGCCTCAAAGCGTGCGACTCGCGGAATGTTCCGCGTCGGATTAGCGAAAAGCCGCTCCGCTAATGTGCCTTTAAGAATGCGCGCCAGCTTCCGGAATGCTCCGAATCGGAGGCCGAGCACCGCTCCGCTTACGGGCTCCAGTTCATCCGATTCGTTGACTGCTCCGCGTCGGATTGACCGAACGCCGCTCCGCTGAGTGGCCTCACTGCGTGCGCGCCGAGCCGGCGAAACGCAGAAGGCTCCGCGTCGGATTGGCCGAGCGCCGCTCCGCCAAGTAGCCTCCAAGCGTGCGCACTGAAGGGGCGATGCCCCGAGTGCTCCGCGTCGGATTTGCGGGACGCCGCTCCGCTCTGTGGCCGCGAAGCATGCGCGACGACTCCTGGACTGCTCCGCGTCGGACTAGCGGAGCTTCGCTCCACTGGGCTGCCTTAAAACATGCGACTCGCGGAATGGTCCGCGTCGGATTAGCGGAAAACCGCCCTGCTAATTGGCCACGAACCGTGTCCGCCGATCCGCAGAGCAATCCGCGTCGGATGATCCGCTTTCAAGCATGCGAATCGCGGCCTGCTCCGCCTCGGATTCGCGGAACTGACGGGGCCCTGGGACACAACAATAGATACACACAAATAAAAACATTCCCCATCTTTCATCATATTTTCTGGGCTTCTGTCTTCCACCCCACTTCCCATATTTTCCCATATTTTCCGGGGAATCGCCGATTAATTGTGTCTGTGTGTTTCTTTCCCTCCTGAGGAACGCCGCTCCGCTGACTGGCCTCAACGCAACGCGCGCCGAACCGGCGATGCGTGGACAGCTGCGCGTCGGATTGGCCGAGCGCCGCTCCGCTCGGCGGCCTCGAGGCACGCGCGCCGAACCGCCGATGCCCGGAGTGCTCTGCGTGGGACTCGCGGGGCGCCGCTCGGCAAATTGGCCTCGGAGCGTGCGCGTCGACAGCGTTTGCGCCGCAGCTGCCTCCAAGAGTCCCCCGAGAGGCTCCCTGCGGTATCCTTGCAAACGCCCGCGAGGCCTCGCCCCCACGGTGCCCTCAAGAAGCCCAGAAGAGACCCCACAACCGGCGCCCGGGAGGCCTCAAAACAGCCTCCAAAAGCCCCCCGAGAGGCCTCCCACGAGAGTCCAACTGACATCGGATAGGCTTCGTGCCCACAACCAAAACACGATGGCGGGATGGGCCGACGGTCAAATTAACTACGCATGTATCACCTTTGACCCGCATGCAAAACACATTCATGAAATTTCTGTTCCGTCCGATGGTTCGCCCGGCCATTTGGCCAGCAGCGCGGTGCCCTCTGCGCGAAGGCCGCGCTGCGCAGCCAAGCGCAAGTCGAACTCGCCACGAATCCGCGGCGCCGCCGCTCGCCCCGAACGAAAAACTAACGCGTGGACGCTGGCAACCGGACGTTTGCACTGGTGGTGGCGTCGCGAACAGACAACGCCACGCGCGGACGACGTACCTCGAAAGACGCTGGCTGCGCGATGCCAGGGCCGCCGCAGACTGGAAGGAGGTGGCCCGCGATTTCGTCGAGCCTCTGCGGAGGTTGCCCGCCTCGCTGACGCAGGCGCCCGCGTCGTGCGCCATCGCATCGCGGGGATGCGGAGGAAGGAACCGAGCCCGCGAGCCGCCCTCCCAGAAGGGGCCTCACGGTTCACGCGGACTCTATCCGCGGCTACATATATCGCTGCCGGGCGCCATCCCGCCGAAGCACCCCCGACACCCCACCTCTTCAGAGGGCGCGGCGACCCGCGGGCGAGGCAGTTTTTCTCCAATATTGGGGTGCCCAATGCCACGCTGCCTCCTAGAACCGCATGTGCTGCTCTACGTCCATGCGACGACAGGACGAGCGTTTTTGGATGGCCCCGGGGGCCCCCTGGGGGCCATCCAAAACCCATCGTCGAGGCCCCCTCCGGGCCATCAAAAGCGCCAGCGGCCCCTCCCCCGGGGCCAGCCACAGACTGGGCCCGGGCGATTCAAACAACGGAGCAAAACGCCAAAAAGTGTGCCAAAAACCATCCCCGCACAGTACTTCGGACTTCAACGCCACTTTTTCACCCACTTTTTCTTGCGGGGCGGAGGAAGGGGGGGGGCTG